CTTCTTTGCGAAACTTGCTACGCGGCGATGTTGACATCAAGTGTGTGTTGGCCAAAGTTTGACCCCAAGTCACACGCTAAACTGGCGCGTTACCTTAGCAACCTTTTTCTTTCGTGGTCCGCGCGTCGATCTAGTAAAATATATCCGGCGGTACTGTAATAACACAACTTGTACGCAAATGTGTTTTGGCTTTGAATATTTCAACATCGTTTACTTAGTGTGCTGCTTGTCAAATAACGCAAATGTGTATTTCACAAATACCATGAACGCAAAGAGAAAGGCAACGTCGTTTTTTGAAGAAAAAAAAACACAAAAAACAAAACACGTCAATGCAAGATTATGCGTGCAAGGTTAGATTTATAGGATGTACATGACCGCTTAAGTCTGTTTTTTAATAACCACATCGCACGTGAAACACACGAGACATTTTAGTTCGTCCATTTCTTGTTTACCGATCTTGAACATTTTGTCTGAAATGCGATACAGACAAAGAATAAACATTAATGATACCTACCGTTGTCAAATCAACAAGAGGCTCGAATCAGGAAGGCTCGACTATTTTAAACTTTATTAAAATACGTGGCCGATATTACCATGTACTTAGTATTTCCACGCTTGCTCGATTTAAAAACAGCTATTTGAAACAAAGACTCGTGGAATCACAAAGGAAACTGTTCAGTACGTATTTCACACTTTTCCTATGACCGCTGTTGCAGTCGGTACATAGTGGCCACCCCAAATTATAAGCAGTCCTAACCGTGGTGAACCGCCCGTTCGATTTCCTACTCTCCCCTTAAATATCCCCGGTTTATACCGTGGTCTCTTTCATTCAAATCTTGTATTAGTAAAAATGTAGCATGTAATTCAGGGCGGAAATCAGTACACTATATTATGTACGCGCAAAAAATAAAATGTTAACCGTCCATAACAAAATAAGACATGTCAGCGTCACTTTCGCGCAAATTCAAATACTGAAGTCTACAGACTAAGTCTTTTCGACCAGCTTTGTTGCACATGCGATCACGTAACACAGAACACTATTGTTCTCCTAATTTGCATGCAAACAAAGCTATCAAAGTTAATGAGCTGTTTGCGTTAACGCAAAGCTAACCTGCGTTAACGAGGCATTGGCATGGTCCTAACGCGATCTTAACGTGGCGTTAACGTAAGTCAACGCGTTAGGTAACCAAGTTTTGAGCTGTACTGTAGCAAAGGTCCTCTAAACTAACTTGTTTTAAAAATTTTGTAGGATAAAATTCTTTATACAAAATCTATTTACCCCTTTTGATGCTGATACTTATTCAGAGGTTTCCAGCAGATCAATACAAAGTAAGAATGTGCAACTTTAAATACCTTGTCAACTAAATGTTCAGTCACAACTTCTCTAAGGCCAGTATACAGGCGTTCTCCATGTTTATGCAGTACCATGGTGTATGCATTACGATAAAGCTCTTCAAAACTAAGACCACTGTTGTTCTTTTTTTGGATCTCTTGTATAGCATTCTTCAACAGAGCCCAAATGTTAGAGACATATTTCTCATCCATTGTCATCTACAGACACACAAGGAAGAAAGAGAACACACAACATATTTAAAATAGTAATCAATTTCAATCACAGGTATTGTGATAGGACTGTGACATAATGAAACACAAAAATTCATATGTAATTTAGCAACCAAGAGGGGAAAATGAAATAGAACTGGGAACATTGTGGCTATCTAGCTATCACTCTTCCAGGGATCCCGCCACGCTGGTCGGCGATGGTTGGCCCAGACCGGCACTAGCGACCACCACAAAAATGCTTCCGACCAGGACAATTGTCCGATTGTTATTATAAGTATGTACCGACCGACACGCATCCTGTCAGTCGTGGATTATAATTTGTAAACAATAGACCTAGTCGCACGATACGTAGCGGCTAGTTAATTTTGTGAAATTAGCATCTCTTTGTTTGTAAGTAAATACTTTCTGCGACAGACACACACAGTCTTTAGATTGAAAGCTAAAATTAATGTAAAAACTCTTCTTTCAAGACCTATTTTACGTTTTAAAAATTGATAATCACCTCTTTCGATAACCATCATGCAGTTTTCAACTGAAATCGATGTCAACACATCGTGCTATGACATCGCTTTATTTCCGCAATGTAATTTTTATGATCACTACCATTTGGAAAACTTCGGATTCTACCGGCATTACCATGCGGCATTCTGATTGGTTAATGGAATCATTGACCCATCGCGTCAAAGGACATGTGCCGGTCAACTAATACGTCACAAACATCATGGCGAGCTGTGTTTTTTACCAAAGTGATCGAGTGATCAAAAATATCCACTCCCAATAAAACTAAGTCAAATTTTACTTTTATTTTTTATCACAAAAAACGAAGTAACATTTTTTGCTTGGCATCATGACTAAGTAAGAGGAATTATTGGTATAATCACAAAGTAAGTTATGTCACATTGTAACTTTGAAAGTTCGGAAGTTTTATTTGTTCGTTCATTACTTTGAATATGTACATTTTAGAAATAGATGGTACGAATAATAAATTACAACAATGTATTTGAATGTATTTGGAGTGAATAAGATCGTGAAAATATTCCTGGCTGAAACATTTCAAATGCGTTTTATTTAACTTTTTATAATAGACATTAATATTGCAATTTTTAAATTCAAACTTCTAAATTGTGAAACAATGTCTTAATTCCAAAATTATTTGCACTGCGACCGAACTCATTAATATTCATATAGCTCATTAATATTCATATATCTCATTAGTATTCATGACCGACCGGCACTCACTTCAATATTTCAAGGAACATTGCTGGCAAGATAAGTGGGCTACTACAAAAGGAGATTTTGATTTATGACAATAATAGCAGCCATCATCTACAAATTATTTTATTTTGTGACCTGTCTGCACCAATTTTACCTCAGCTGACTAAACAATTTTAAATATAAATTAGATAATCATAGTTGCTTGTTTTATATTGAATCATGAGTACCTAACAATTTTTAGTCAACATTTTCACAAGCTGTCATAAATCATCGTTTTTATTGTCAGCAAATAGAAAATAGTGATAACTAGTCACTGATTTCAAGTTCTTGATTTTGGTTTTACATTGCTTTGTTTCATTTCAGTCTGCATGCTTCCATCTGACTTAGATTCAATTTGGGGTTTTTCCCCAAATCAAGCAATAGCAATGTCAAGCAATAGAAGGAAATGAACAGATCTGACAGGGATTATTATTATGATAATACATATATATCAATAACTGACTAAATTCAGCCATTGTCAGTATCTGTCATGATATAGCAAAACTGTTCACTAACTGGGATCAAAGCAAATGTACGTACATCACCTACCGGGTCATCAACTACTGCTCTCAATAGTCATTTTTTGCACCTAATGTTGACAAAAATTATCGCACAAATAGCATGTACCGGTACATGCATTCCACCCTAGAAGTCCCAGGGAAAAAGTGGATTAGAGTACAATTTAAATCAAATTTGATTTGCTGTCCCTACTGAATTAAAAAAAGTGTTAGTTAATTGATATGGATCAGGTAATTTGGTTCGAAACCACTTCTGGACTCTTCTGGCTTTCATCTGAATTAGTTAATCTGTGGGGATAGCTGAGCAGACTTCAATCCAAATAAGTTTCAAATCAAAACTACTTATTTTTGTCTGATGAGGACAGGGCTATGATCAGTATGAGAGTTGTTGTGCTTACTGATTAGTTCCACACTGTCCACTCATCAAAAAGGAAATCCATTCAAATGATTGTTTACAAATACAAACCATTATAGCAAGTAATAGTGCTGAGTCTCATTTTTTATCTCTATAAACTGATTCGACAATTAAAAGTGTCTTCAAGTAAAACTACTATTTGATATCTGTTAAACTAATGACATCCAATGCACCAATTAAGATTTTAACACGCAAGTTTAGGTAAAGTTTCTGTCTCGGCGCTGAATGTGTTTACTTATGTACAAAGTCAAAACTAGGTTATTGAAATTAGGTCAGCCTGCAATGGCTATTAAATACCAAATTCATAGTGTATCTGGCATGTTGACAGAAAATAAATGTGAATTCATGCCGTTGAACTTTCTTATTAACAACGAATAAAATCATTTATAGCATAAACAGAGGAGAACAAGATCACAGCGCAAATGCAAAATAAATAGAATTTTAGAACTTTGATGTCCGTGGGTGATTTTAAATAAAGAAAATATTACTTACTGGAAAAGCTCGAATGCGCATCTTGGTATTAGTTTTTGACTTGAGACTCATTTTGCCGACGATTTATATTAAACGGACTGTAGGAAAAATAATAATGAAACTAACGACATACAGTCAGCAGTCAACGCTCTACTTTACGATCGCTAAACAGAACACCCTTGATGATGCTCGGTCAGCCGACAACCATTTGAAGAAAAGCGCGATTTTACAGAGCGATTGGAGCCCAATGTCAATATTCGCACATCAGGTTGGGCCACTGAATGTGCTAACGTCAAAAAAAGCCCAGTTTGAATGTCTAAACTGATATAATCGTAGAATTATATTCACTCAATCCTCTCGTTCACATTTCAGGGAGATTCCGAACGATTTGTTTACTTCATGTTTGATATTTATTGTAGCCGTCCGACAAAATGAAGTTCTCAGTATTTCACAAACTTAAAAAATATAACAGCTTTTAATTTACTTTCGAAGTAAGAAGCCAATGTAAAGACTTACAATGGAAGCAGTAATGATTTACAAAATTAGTATTTTGTAGAATACGGAACTTTATATGTTACTGGCGGAAAGATATTTTCTATCAAACGACTTCTGTGAGTTGGCAGCCGCCATATTGGTGACGCAATTATAGAGGTATCGCGAGATTTAAAACTTCATTCCGAGTTCAAGGGTGATAACAATGGCGGCGCCCACATTTTTTTCTTGTCGAGGTAAACTGTGCGCATGACATAATCATAAAGAAGCGTTACAAGGTGAACACCATGGCTCATAGTGCTATCACACTGACTCCGTTCGTAGATGGAAAACATGCACAGGTTCGTCATGTTGCTGATGAGCTTATCAGGGGCGACCCTTTGAAATCATGTGGGGGGTGATATACTACCTTCTCGATACACGACAACTTACACTGCCTTCCAGATACACCACAACTTATACTACCTTCTAGATACACCACAACTTATACTAGGTGCCAGACACACCACAACTTATACTACCTTCTAGACACACCACAACTTATACTAGGTGCCAGACACACCACAACTTATACTACCTTCTAGATACACCACAACTTATACAACCTGCTAGATACACCACAACTTATACAACCTGCTTGGTACACCACAACTTATACAACCTGTTCGATACACCACAACTTATACAACCTGCTAGATACACCACAACTTATACTACCTTCTAGATACACCACAACTTATACAACCTGCTCGTTACACCACAACTTCTACTAGGTGCCAGACACACCACAACTTATGCAACCTGCTAGATACACCACAACTTATACTACCTTCTAGATACACCACAACATATACTAGGTGCCAGACACACCACAACTTATGCAACCTGCTAGATACACCACAACTTATACAACCTGCTTGGTACACCACAACTTATACAACCTGCTCGATACACCACAACTTATACAACCTGCTAGATACACCACAACTTATACAACCTGCTCGATACACCACAACTTATACTAGGTGCCAGACACACCACAACTTATGCAACTTGCTAGATACACCACAACTTGTACTACCTTCTAGATACACCACAACTTATACTAGGTGCCAGACACACCACAACTTATGCAACCTGCTAGATACACCACAACTTATACAACCTGCTCGATAAACCACAACTTATACAACCTGCTAGACACACCACAACTTATACTACCTTCTAGATACACCACAACTTGTACTACCTTCTAGATACACCACAACTTGTACTACCTTCTAGATACACCACAACTTGTACTACCTTCTAGACACACCACAACTTATACTACCTTCTAGATACACCACAATTTATACAAAATG